TTACAGCCTTTCAGCTCTAAATCTAGGACCCTCTGAATGAGCTTGGTCAACCAAGAACAGGAGGTTTTCCAGACATGGGGTGAGGACTGAGAGCCAAATTAAGACCGACATCATTTTAGTATTTCAAGGTCTTATCCCATTGTCTACCTCACTTTGCCAGCTGGGAGGCTGGTGGTTGGGGAAGGCTAAAAAGTGCTGGCTAAAAGCCAGCATATTCTGGTGGGCAATGAGGTACTGCATCCCCTTGAAGTATTGAAAACTAACAGGTCACTTGAGTCAAGTCAAGAAGCATTTATTGAGCACCTACTATGTTCCAGACGCTGTGCTAAGTGCTGGGGATACAAAGAAAAGTAAAAAAAATAGCCCCTGCTCTCAAGGAGCTCACAGTCTAACGGGAGAAACAGTGAAGACAACATGTACAAGCAAGACATGGTGGAGATGATGAGGGTGCAGTGCCACCTGGTGGAAAATCCATGTATCACACCGCCCTGATGGTTAATTCATTGACAGCCTTCATTTTTGTAGTTTGGGGAAAACAGGGCAAGGAGCCAGGTGTAAGCTGCTATTGCTATGCCAGCACCTCAGGCTTCAACTGGGAAGCTAAGCAAGTGTTAACCTAGTCCACTGTCATCCCAGGAATTGGTCCCTAGCTCCCCTCTGCTCCTCCCTCTGGGATCATCCAATAGCTGTCATTGCCTGGATGATTTCTCCATTGCACTGCCGTCTTCTTGGGCTTTTCTGCTGATTCTGTGCTGAACCGACGCCATCTGCTGAATCTCCACTAAACTGCAGCTGTTATGTGGACTGGTCCATCTAGCCCCCATTTTAGCTCTTTGGATTAACTTCACTGGTGATGAGAAGCATGTTAATAATACAGGGCAGCTAGGTGGTATGGTGGATAGAGCACCAGGCCTGGAGTCAGGAAGACCTGACTGTTCAAATGGTCTCTGTCCCATTCTCCCTCCCTCCTTCCCATCCTTCAAACAGATGCTATAGAGGAGGATTACTGTTCAGCCATGCATTGGACTACCTCACTTGCTCCAGCTTGGAGATTCTATGAATATTCAGTCCCCAAAAACCTTCAGTTGTTTTCTTATTTGAACTCATCTAGACAAGGCTCTTCCAGCCCCATGCAGAGGCTAGAATGGCAAGTTATTGTTGTAGGGTACTCCCTAACACATAATGAAAACCTCTTTGAGGCTGGAGAGAGACTTCTAATAACTTGCTTGGGGGAAGGGCCTGATGGTATCACTCACTAGTCAGAGCTCCTTGCAAGCCTCATCTCACCCAAGGGAATTAGGGTGTGTGAACTAGGCTCAGCCACCAGCACTTAGAAACTCTGCAGCAAGGGTGGGGATAGAGAAGGGTCTACACTGCAGAGGCAAAGTGGGGGGCTGAGGGATAAACACCCTGTAGGAGCCTATCCCCTATGAGTTGGACCATAAGGAAAGCTGAGCTCTCCAGAATCGATACTTTCGAACTGTGGGGCTGGAGAAGACGATCGAGAGTCCTTTGGACAGCAAGGAGATCAAATCAGTCAATACTTAAAGAAATTAGTTCAGGATATTCACCAGAAGGTCAAATACCAAAGCTGAAGCTTAAATACTTTGGCCACATAATGAGAAGATGGGACTTATTGAAAAGACCCTGCCTGATGGTGGGAAAGATTGAAGGCAAAAGAAAAAGGGGACGGCAGAGGGTGAGATGGATAGAGAGTGTCATGGAAGCCATGAGCTTGGACAGACTTCAGGAGATACTGGAGAATAGAATGGCCTGGCGTGCTATGCTTTTTGGGGTCATGAAAAGTCAGATACAACTGCATGACTGAACGACAACAACAACATTCCCTATCAGAGGTGGTAGAGGACTGGGCTCCTGGCCCAGGGTGATGGTAGATGTAGTAACTGTTCCTCTGTCTGGTGGCTTTGTATGACACAGGGTAGGAGGAAGCATCCTGAACCGCAGCACGAAAACACCACCTTTTGGGTGGAGACTGGGAAGTCTTACACTTGACCCACACCATCCCTACTTTTGCAATAGTGGCCCTGGGTCCCAGTGAGGCAGCAGCTGGGGATGTTCTAAGGACCAGGAACAGCCTTCTGCTTGGCTAGAATCCCCTCTTATGGGTCTCCCCTCATCTCTCGCCTTCCTATTTGCTAACTTGTTAAAATCAACTCAAAGTCGTTGAATACAAACACAGGAGTCATATCAGAGGTAGACGGAGACTGCTCATTTGGGTTTGATTTGGCATCTGCCTGTCACCAGACAGCCAGTAAGTATCAGAATGATTGAATAGGTACATTTGTACAACCTCCTTGTTGGAAAACCCCCAAATATTAAGAAATAACATTTCCTCTGGTTTATGAAGCCCTTTCCAGATGCCTCAAAAAATCTCTTGGAAAGGGAGGTGATAGGTTGAGGACAAAGAGGTCTCTCATAAGGAAATGGAGGATGGATCCTGGTGCGAGAGTGGGCACAGAGAGGACCTCTGGTTTTAGAGTTCTTGCCTTCCTTATCCCCAGAAAGAAGGAGCCCAAGATCCCCTCAAGGGAGAAGCGTCTTCTATTCAGAAGGGATTCTGGTTATTGGTATAGACACTGATCTCTGGGAGGAGTGGTCCAGGAAGCAATGAGGGTGACTGTGTTACTCTGATATTCAGGGATGTTAACCCCAAACTGTATTTTATGTATGTGATTTTTCTTTTCTAAGATTTCTAAATGTGTTACCTTGGGGAGAGATATACCAGAGGGCATGAGAAAACTAGGCTGGTTTAAATGTCTCTCTCTAAGCCAGAAATGGCCCAGCTAAGAATGATAAATTAAATAAATTTGCTTCTGACAGACTTGTGCCTAAAATGCAGAGTACAGTATTATTTTTTTTTAAACAGCTATCTGGCAGGGGGCGGGGGGAAAAGAAGAGGGGTAAACTAAACACTTGAATCTGACATTTAAATAATAGAAAATTTTTGTGTGTGCCTATCTGCCCAGTTATTACTCAATGTGCCAAGTTTCCTTCTCTAGCTTGTTTTATAGATAAGGAACCGAGGCAAACAAGGTTAAGTGATTTACCCAGGGTCACACCACTAAGTGTCTGAGGCCAGATTTGAACTCAGGAAGAGGAGTCTTCATGATTCCAGGTCCAACATTGTATCCACTGTGCCACCCAGATGGCCCATTTGGGATTCTCATTAAAAAAAATTCACAAGGAGGTGAGGGGAATGAGATGCCCCAACCATTTTATAAAGCATACAGAACAGAATCATTCCCCTTTCAGACTCAGCTGTCTCTCATTCCATTGGGCAGGAGGTTGGAAAAGATCATAAAGGAAAAGCAGACAGAGGCTCTACCTCCCCTAAGAAAGGGTAGGAGCACCACAACCCCAAGAAAGACTTCTTAAAGAGGATCCATGAACTGGATTCTTTTAAAGGATGTTTTGATAACCCTATTTCAATAATCCATGTATCTTTATGCATTTAAAATGCGATTTTGAGATGGGGTCTATAAACTTTGCCAGGCTACCACAGGGGTCCATCCACGATTCAAAAAAGGTGAAGAGGGGGCAGCTAGGTGGCGCAGTGGATACAGCACCAGCCTTGGATTCAGGAGGACCTGAGTTCAAATGTGGCCTCAGACACATAACACTTACTAGCTGTGTGACCCTGGGCAAGTCACTTAACCCTATTGCCTAGCCAAAAAAAAAAAAAGGTGAAGAACTCTTGCCTTCGAGTGATGCCTAAGGTCCTCTGGGCTCAGGGCAGCTTCCTGTCCACTTATCCTCACATATGGACACCCCTGTTACATCCTTTACCCATCCAGGCTCTAGGCAGGCCAGCACACGGATGCTCCTAGGAACAATTGCAAATCAAGGGGACCCTCTGTGGTCCTGGCCTTGAAAAGGCTAAACTTGGGCCATGTCGAATCCTTACTGCCTACAAGACATAGGAGGATTATACAAATTCCTCATAGAACCAAATAGAATCTCAGAATAGGAAGGGACCCCATGAGGACCCTTTATCCAACCAACCCCTTCTGGGAACACAAGTCCCCTCTACCACGAGCCCAGCCACTGATTATCTACCCTCTGTTTGAAAAGCTCCCATGATGAGGTACCTGCTACCTCAAGAAATGGCCTATTTCTGAAAGAGGGAGCTGAGATGTCCCCTTCTAATTTTTCCCAGTTGGACCTACTAGTTCTCCCCTCTGAGAACAGGCCATGCTTTCCTTTGGCAATTCAAGGAGCAGAGGGGCTTGGCCGGCCTTAGACACAACAAGGGAGATGCTTTCTGGCCTTCCTCTCACCCCCGTGCTCCAGCACAGGACAATGACTTTTAGGCAACGTTAGGGGCTGCATGTCTCAATGAGTTCTGTAGGCCTGAGGAAAGTTCCTATCCTTTCTTTTTGTTTCTCAGCCTTAGGGTTTGGTCATCGGACCAAATGTAGTAACTTTACATACTGTTGGAGATGGTTTCTCTCTGTTTTCTTATAGCCAGGATGGGGAAAAGGGGAAGGTGGTGATTAACAGTTTTTTCCACTCTTAATGTTGACCCTTTTTGAACTCTTCTTGAGTTTAAATTTGGCCCTAGACATTTACTAACTGTGTGACCCTGGGAAAGTCATTTAACCCTGTCTGCCCCAGTTTCCTCCTCCGTAAATTGAGCTGGAGAAGGAAATGCCAAAGCACTCTATATCTTTGCCAAGAAAACACCAAATGGAGTCATGAAGAGTTGGACATGACTGAAAAAACTAAGTGCTTTACAAATATTATTTAAGGGTGGCTAGATAGCGCAGTAGATAGAATACTGGGCTTGCAATCAAGAAGACTCATCTTCATGAATTCAAAACTAGCCTTAGACACTAGCTGTGTGACCCTGGACAAGTCACTTCACCCTGTTTGCCTCAGTTTCCACATCTGTAAAATGAGCTGGAGGAAGAAATGGCATCTTTGCCAAGAAAACCCCAAAGGAGTTCACAAAGAGTCAGAAATGACTGAAACAAGCCAACAACAACGTTGACCTATCAGGACCACCCTTTGAAGGCTGGGTTGGAAAGTCCCACTTCTAGAGCTTTCAAATGGGAATTTCTGGAGGGGGCTCTGATTGACGTCTGTGAATCACCTTAACTATCAATGATTCTACAAACTTTAACTACGGGCTTCCCTGGATCGGTCCTAGGAGTAGGTAAAAGAGAGCTATTCAATGAAATAACCCTTAGGTGGTCTTTTCCACGGCCTCTTGTTCTTGTATGAGAAAACAAATAGTTTTCAGGCCCACCCTTATTTTTTTCCCGTGTAACTTGTCCTGAATTGAGATTTCACTGGCATAGGAAACTCCGGAGGAAGAAACTCTTCCGCCAATGCATATTGGCAACTGTTGAGAAACTCACTAGTTTTAGTTTCCTGGGTCACAGAGAAGCAAATTGCCCAGGTCACCACGGCCTGTTATGTGTCGCAGGCAGATCTGAACCTCGGTCTTCCTGACACTGAGGCTGGCTCTATGTCCAGTGTGCCCTGCACACTTAGGTGGTGGGACGGTGAGCCTGCAGACATCTCAAGCTACTCTAGAAACAGCCAGAAGAGAGAAGCAAAGGAAGGAACTGAGCCCTAGGAAGACCCAGGCTGCAAGGCTGCTAAAATCAAGATAAGCTTGGCGTGAGTTTAAAGACGTGGGGGGTTGGGGGCAGTACTTTCCTTCCTTTCTTTTTTTTGGGCTGGTTGTGGGTGTTAGGCCAGGAAGAGAGCTGAGGCTAGTGATAGAATCCAAGAATGTTCACAGATGCACAGTCTAAATCATCTATTTCTTTACTTCCTTTGCTTTAAAAAGCCATCTGTACATGTCTTTGTGTAGTTTAAAACTCAAGCTTGTGGCTTTAGCGAGCAGATTTCTTCAGGAAGGTGCCCCAAATGGCTGTTATTTCAGACCACAGACTTTGCATTCTACAAATTTTGAGGATGTGACTGACTCCAGGTAGAGTCTAACATATACCAAAGGGGAAAAGGAAAACTGAGGGGCAAAAATCTTTTATAATCAATCAACCAATAAACATCTATTAAATACCTACTGTATACCAGGCACTCTGCTTAGTGCTGGGGATACAAAGAGGCAAAAGACGGTCCCTGCCCTCAAGGAGCTTACAATCTAATGGGGGAGACAACAAGCAAACACATCTATACAGAGAAGCTACATACAAGATAAACAAGAAATAAATAACAGAGGGAAGGCACTGGAATTAAGAGGAGTTGGGGGAAGGCTTCCTATGGAAAGTGGGATTTTAGGTGGGAAGCCTGAGAGGTCAGCAGTCCAAGTGGAGGGACACTGTTGGAGGCAGAGGGAACAGCCAGAGAGAATGCCCAGAGCCGAGACATGGAGAATCTTGTGTCTTGTTTGTGCAATAGCCAGCAGGCCAGTGTCACTGGATGAAGGAGAATGTGTTGGGGAGTACACAAGAAGACTGGAAAGGTGGGAGAGGGCTAGGTTATGAAGGACTTTGGAGGTCAGACAGTGCCTTCTGTATTTGCTCCTAGAAGGAATAGCAAGCTACTAGAGTTTATTGAGTAGGATGGTGACATGGTTGGATCTGTACTTTGGGAAAATCACTTTGGTGGCTGAATGGAGGATGGAGGAGAGAGAGACACGAGCTAGGGAGATGCCCAGCCAGCTACTGCCACAGTCCAGGTGTGAGGTGATGAGGGCCTGTACAAGGGAGGTGGCTATTGTCAGAGGAGAGAAGGGGGTCTATTCACAAGATGTTGAAAAGGTAACATTGGCAAGAGCTTGGATATGGGGGGCAGTGAGAGATAGTGAGGAGTCCAGAATGACTCCTAGGTTGCAAGGCTGAGGCACTAGGAGGATAGTGTTGCCCTCTACAGTAATAGGGAAGGTGGGAGGCAGGGAGACTTTAGGGGAAAGATGATAAGGTCATTTTTGGATACAGTGAGTTTCAGATGTCTACTGGACATACAATTTGAGATGTCTGAAAGGACATTGGGGATGTGAGACTGGGGATTGGTAGAGCTACCATAGCTGGTGATAGTTTGGTGGTTGGCTATTTAATAAAGAGATGAGTTTGACCTAAGCTTTTCTCAGTGAGCCTTATACTCCAAGGCTTATTCTCCTGTGTGAAGTCTTGTGTTTGATGAGGGATGAATGCCACCTGAAGAATTTCCCACATTCCTTACACTCATAAGACTTCTCTCTAGTATGGGTTTTGATGTGCTCCGTAAGAGATGAGCTATAGCTGAAGGATTTCCCACATTCACTGCACTGATAGGGCTTCTCTCCGGTGTGAGTTCTTAGATGGTGGGTAAGGGATGAGCTGTAGCTGAAGGCTTTCCCACATTCACTGCACTGATAGGGCTTCTCTCCAGTGTGAGTTCTTAGATGGTGGGTAAGGGATGAGCTGTAGCTGAAGGCTTTCCCACATTCACTGCACTCATAAGGTTTCTTACCAGTATGAGTTTGATGATGTTGAGAAAGGGAGGTACAGTAACTGAAGGCTTTCCCACATATCTTACATTTGTAAGGTTTCTCTCCTGTATGAGTTTTCTGATGTTGAATAAAGGCTGAGCAGTACCTGAAGGTTTTCCCACATTTGGTACATTCATAGGGCTTCTCTCCTGTATGAATCCTCCGGTGCTGAGTGAGGAAGGAATTCTGGCTGAAGGTTTTCCCACAGACACCACACTCGTAAGGCTTCTCTCCAGTGTGAATTTGCTGATGTTGATTAAGGACTGAGCAGTAGCTGAAGGACTTTCCACACTCACCACACACGTAAGGTCTCTCCCCAGTGTGAATTCTCTGATGGTAATACAGGGAGGCCCTTTGGCTGAAGGCTTTCCCACAGCTACTGCATTTATAGGGTTTCTCTCCAGTGTGAATCCTGTGATGCTGAGTGAGGAAGGAATTCTGGCTGAAGGCTTTCCCACAGACACCACACTCATAAGGCTTCTCTCCAGTGTGAATTTGCTGATGCTGAGTAAGGACCGAATAGTACCTGAAGGCTTTCCCACATTCACTGCACAAATAGGGCTTCTCTCCAGTATGAGTCTTCTGATGGTAACACAGGGATGATTTCTGGCTAAAGGCTTTCCCACATTCATTGCACTCAAAAGGTTTCTCCCCAGTATGAATTCTCTGATGTTTGGTAAGGCATGTGCTCCAGCTGAAGGCCTTCCCACACTCTTCACACTTATAAATTTTCTCCCGACTGTGTGTTTTCTTGTGGGTGACTGTCCCCTGCCCTAACAGTTTCTCCAGATTCCTCTGCTGTCCCTTTAACTTGTCCTCACATTTCCAGGTTTCTTCTAATTTCGAGTCCCAGGAACCATCCTTTATAACTCTTTCCAACATTGGAAATGACATATGGGCCTCAGACATACAATCCAAGTCTGAAAGGAATAAAAAAAAAATACGTACATTTCCTGTTCTCTGAGCTGAGGGAGAAAACAAAAGCCTTCAATAGGAATGGAAAAATAAAATCAGTGTTTGTCAGTATCAACTCAGAAATGGCACATTCAGGAGAGACCTATAGCCAAATCTAGCCCTGCTACTTACTATTTATTAGTTATAAGACCATGGGCAAGTCAGTTTTCTAGTCTGTAAAACGGGGATAATAAAGTATATAACATAGCCACCTCCTAGGGTTGATGTGAGAAAAATACTTTGTAAATTAAAAATGGCTCTATGGATGGGAGCCGGTGATTCACATTTATGCATATCCCAGCCCTGTGAGGTCTGGGGCAAGATTTCTTCCTTCATCACACCCTAGTCCATAGGCAACTTGGTCTTGCAAGACAGGAGGAAAATGGTGGGAATGGTTGCATTTAGCTGTGGTGGGATGAGGGGAAAGACAGGAAGATGTATCCAGGGGAGATGGCCTTTCTGTGCATCTTCTGACACCCCCTGACCCAGCAATGGGTGTGGACAGTGCACCTCAGGTTTTACAGACTGATCCTCACCTCTCTTTGCTTTCTAAGCCAGACTCCTAAAAAAAGCTGTGTACATTTATTGCCTCCAATTTCTCACCTCACATTCACTTCCCAACCCCTTGAGATCTGGCTTCCATCCCTCCCACTTGATGGAAACTATTTGTGGCAAGGTCATCAAAGATCTCTTCATTCCTAAAGCCAAGGGCCTCTTCTCAGTCCTCAGCCTTCTTGACCTCTCTGCAATATTTGATGGTTCTGACCCTGGTGTGGCATGGTTTCCTTCCTGGCCATCAGAATAGTCTTTCCCAGTTCCCTTTGTAGGTTTGTCATCCATATCCTGCCCCCTGCACAAAATGCATGCCCAAGGCTCTACCCGGGGCTGTCTCCTCTTTCTACAAACTTTTTTTGTCAGTCTCTCAGTTCCAATGGACCCAGCGATCATCTCTAAGCAGATGGCACTCACATCTACCTATCCAGTCTTCCTCTCTCTCCTGAGCTACAGTTCCATATCTCCGTTGGCCTGCTTGATGTCTCTGCCTAGCTGTCCTAGATGTCCCAGAGGCACCTCAGATTTCACGTGTCCCAAACGGAACTCTATTTCCCCAGCCATCCTCTGGAACTTCACTCCTGCAGGCAAGGGCCACCATCCTTACAATCACTCAGCTTCACAACCTGGAGCCTCTCACAACCCTTGACTCTCACTCATCTTTCATATCCAATCACTTCTTGAACCTGCATCCCAAGGGAAGAGGTTCTCCATTTCTCTAACAGATACCTAGGCTGGGATGAGGGGCTCGCTCTGAATCTTCTGTCCTTTGGTTCCCCTCCCCCATAAGTAGATCCTCTGTGTGTGTGTGTTTGTGTGCGTGTGCGCACACGTGTGTGTAATGTTGCACACACTATCAGACAGAGTTGACGGGTCAATTGGCTTTTCTACCTTTTGTTAAAAGGGGAAGGCTCAATTGGGAAGGGATGGGACATATTCAGAAATGAAAGGAATGTAAAAATAAAAAGCATCCATAAAACAAACAAACAAACAAAGATGGAAAGGGAAGGAGTCACATCCCACATAAAGGTATAGGTGTAGGGAAAAGGAGGCTACAAGCTTGCACACAAGGGAGGAAATGAAAGAACATGATGTTTAGCCTTGATATGGTAGTTAATAAGGAGTCACTATACACCCATAAGCAGGACAGTGACATGACTCATTGCTTTCTAACCAAGGAGATTTGAAAGAGTAGAATAACAGAGAGAAACAGGGAAATGAGCCTGGTTTTCATTGCATTAAATGAGTCACCCAAAGGGAGGAACCTGTAGGCAAGAAGAAATACGGAGCTGGGCTCCAGGGGAGAAGTCAGGACTGAAAATGATCAGAGCAAGAAGGAGGAGTGGAAACCACACGCGGCTGAGCTTCCTGAGGATGTGGAATGTCGAGTTCACTGAGCAAGAGAGAAGGCCGTTAAGACTCTCTTCAAGACTGGGATGACGAAGGAAGAAGACAAGGAGGAATTCAAAAGGTGAGACAGGAAATCACTGAATAACTTGGATGAAAATCTTGTTCAAAATGCACTTAAATGTTCAGAGGAGCAAAGGCCTCTAAGAAGCTGGGGAGCCGGACAAAACTCACTGGACTCACTAGTGCCTGCTAGAAGGGGGACTGAGGGACGGGAGGGTGAAGGAACCTTGGGAGTAACTTCTTTCTGACTCGGAGAGGGAGTGGAAGGGTCTTATCAGTCAGGGAAAGAGAGGCAGATTGGCTTTTTTCCATCCCCCCTGCCCCTAACGCTATTTCTGACCTAGAAGAAGAAAGATCAAGGAATATGGGATGTAGGAAAATTCTCCCTCGAAATTAAAGGTGGAGCTTTTATTCCTAAACCCTTTGTGAAGAGAAGGTTGAGCTGAGTAAGATGGGCCACGGACAACTCCCAATCAGTCATTATTATTATTATATCCAATGCGTTATTAGCACGAAGCCACCCAAGGGCTTGTAGTATCCTAGCTATCATCAGCTTCCCGGAAGGCGCCTGCAAACACTTTGAGTATAAGAAAGCTAACGTGTTCTCCACAGAAGAGAGACAGGCAAGCTTCCCGAGAGCAAGGACAACGTCATTTTTGTTTGTGTACGCACGGCAGCCAGCACAGTGCCTGGCACACATCTGGACAAAGTGGACAGTGAGAAAATGGAAGTATTTTTAAAATTTTATTCCTCAGTATCATAAGAAGTGGTTACCTCATTTTTAGGGTTTTCTCCCCCTACTATAAAAAGCACACAGGTAATAAACCTTATATGCAAAAAAAAAAGTAGGCAAAAACATCAAGGAGAACCATAGAAAAAAGTGATAAAAGTGAAATAGCCCCTCTAGATTTCAAAATATGCCTTAAAGCAGTAATTACACAAAACTCTCTAGTACTGGATTTTAAAAATAGCTCAATGAAACCCAAGAGAACCTGGAAAAAAACAAAATAAATGTAAGAGATTAGTGTTTTATAATTCCAAACACTGGGGAAATTTGACTTAATGAAAATAGCTGAGAAAAATCAGCAAATGGCAAGAGAGAAAATGAGTTTAGTCCCCCTCCTCATACAAATCACTACGCCAAATTTCAGATGGATTGACGAAGAAGGGGGAAAATATCACTTTTATCTCAACTAGAGAGAAGAAAAAATAATTCTACATCAAGCAAAAGGGAGAAATTAGAGACAAACATATAAAAGGAGTTTGTACAACAAAAACAACGTAACCAAAATTAAAACAAAACAATAAAAGTGGGGAAAAGTGTAGTAAATACATACGACAAAAATCTGACATCCAGAATCTGTAAGGAAGAGATACAAATTTCCAAGAACAATTAATGCTCATTCTGCTGGACAAATAGTTAAAGGGTATGAACAGACAATTCTCCAAAGAAGAAATGCAAATCAATAATCCTTTGAAATGGTTCAACCTCTCCATTAAATAAATATAAATTAAAATAGCCTTGAGTTACCACCTTGCTCATCAAATGAGCAGAGATGGTTAAGAACAATAAAACTCAATGTTGGTGGGACTGGAGGTAAACAGGCATACTGTTTACACTCCTGCTGGAATTGGGAAATCAGTGAGATCATTTTGGAAAATGATGTGGTGACATGCAATAAGAGTTACAACACAGACTATAACTTCTGCCAATGATCCCACAAGAAGAACTAGGTCATGAGGATGATATTAAAAGAAGAGGAAACACTTTCATCTCTATAAAAATATTCCTAGATGTTTTACTTGTAATAGGACAACCCTGGACATAACCTATGTATTCAATAGGTAGGTGACGATGCCTTACTAAACAGTAGTACACTACTATGATGAAATATTCCTATCCTATAAAAATGACATATATAAATAAAAACAGAGAAATCAGAAAAGACAGTGAGGTTAAGCAAAGAAAGAATGAATGAAAAGAACAATAAACATTTACTATGACTTAAAAAAAACACAACCACGAACTACCTACAAAGAACTACTGTATGAAACAATAAAGATGGAAGAGCTGGGGAGGGGACAGAGAGCAAATCAGCTGTTACCGTTATCCTATGGTTAAAGTTTATATGTGTGTATAGAACATCAATGCAAATGTCTACTTTAACATTTGTGTGCAGATTAAAGTTACGGTTCTCTACAGGAAAACAAAAATAAAACTACTCCATTAGGACAAGGGTCTCCTTGAGCATGGAAGCTTGTGTAGACTGAACAGTCTGTGTCTTTTCTCTCAGGTCTCACCTGTGGAATGGCCTCTCCTGCCCAAATCCAGGGGATCCCAATATAAATCCAGAAATAGTAGCTACAAGGTCAAGACTGACCTCTGTCTGGTCAGTACCTTGAATTCAAATGTACTGAGGGACAGCAACAGACAGAGGCCCAGCAGATTCTGAGCATTACATAGGACAGTGAAGGGGGGAGGGTTTGGTTTGGTTTTTGTTTTTTTAAAGACAGGACCTGCTCAGTCCTGTCAAGTGTCCAGGAGGACAAAGACTGACAAAAAACCATGAAGTCTGGGACAGGGATGACCTTGACAAGAACAGTGTCAGTAGAGTGGTGAAGATGGAGGCCAGGCTGAGGCAGGGTGTTAGGAAAGGGATCTAGGAGGCAGGGAGTACAGGAGCTCACTCCCATGGTTAGATAGTAGAAGGAAGAAGAAAAGGAGGTAACAGAGTCAAGTAAAAGGTATTTTTGTTTTGTCTGTTTTATTTTTTTAAATGGAGAAACCTGAGATGTTTAAAGGCAGAGATGGTGAATCTGTGACAAAGGCCAGACTTGGCAGGGTCAGGAAATAATG